ACTATTTAAAGCTGACAGTTTCTAAATTGCCTCAAACACATTTTGCCATTTCTATACTGCAACTTCTTGTTACGAATCAACTGCCATATGCACAAATACCAATATATCTACAAAAGAAAATGTTCCCATGTAGTTGAACTGCTCACAATTTACATTTACACATCAGGGGTCATAAGTCGACTTTGGTCAGATATAAGTGATCACATGCAAGACAGTTTTGGAGCCAGTGCCTTAATGTGAATGATAGGATGACGCCTTACTCATATATTTGTTTTCACTGTCTGACATAGCATTATTGGTAAATGTTTATGACACAGAATGCAATAATGAATGTCATGGAACTTTAACAAAATCTGATTGTGTAAAAACACAGGCTGCTTGTCAGCTGAGCAGCACTTGACCTCTCAACATAGACTGAAAGACAAAAACATGTTATGTCAGCTGAGCATATGATTTCTTCTGACTTGTTTTCCAGTCTTAAGTAAACAATCATGTAAGTTCAATATGACCTGTTTTCACAGTTTCCAGATGAGCAGAATGAGCAGTGCACAGTAATCAATATTAAAAATGATAAACTAATGTTGTTATATTCGAGCTGCACGATTATGGCCAAAATAATAATCACGATTATTTTGGTCAATACTGAGATCACCATTATATATCATGACTGTTCACTGATTTATGGGACAAATTATTTACATTGCACTTTTACATTTAAATTAACAAAGAGCTGCTTTCACTTCCATGTTGTGCTGCATTCCTGCTGATGTCTTTGCATCAAAATAAGGCCAAACTACATCAACAAAGGACTGCTTGTACTGTCACACTGTGCTGCATTCCTGCAAATTAACAAAGATGTAAAGAAAATGCATTGCTAATTCCAGACTGTCTTTGAGAACTGGATGGATAAGTATCCACCGCTGTATTTTGTTTTAGTTTTCCAGCAGTCACTATACCGTGACATGCTTTACAGCCTTGTGATTTTTGAGTTGATGCTGGACAAGGAAGGTAAGGTGACGTTAACAACATTAATTGTCTTGGCCTTCATGCATTCATTGTATCACAGTTTGAGGTACTTTTTCAGGTGGTTTAACAAGTTAGTTGTGTTGCTGCGGGGTCACAAGTCGCATTCCTTGCATATGATTTTCTCTCTGTTAAATCTGAAATACTTCCAAACAACAGCTGTTGATTGTTGTTGTTGAACGAATGGTTTTCATTTTGCCCGTCCGCAGTTGCAACATTCATCTAAGCTTTTCACAGGCTGCCACAGCAGGGTGTATATGTAGCAGCATAACATCTCTTTAAATTGGGAGAGTGACTTTTAGTTTAGAAGGCACTTGATTTGATAAGCAGTGAAGTTTTCTATGAGCAGAGGACACAATTTAAACATCGGTTTCACAGTTGATCATGTCAACTTAATTGTCAAGAACCTAACTGTGATCGTGATAAATATACAAATAATTGTGCAGCCCTACATCATACAATTTTAATTTTACATTATAATAAAAAATCTTGTTACTTTATCTTCAGTTACTTTCACACAAATTTATTTTTGAGGTTGTACTTTGTGAGTTTTTATATGTGTCCTTATTCCCTTGACCTACGTCTTTATGCCGACCTCGCTTAGCCAATTCCTACGTTACCCAGACCTTTGAACAATCCCATGTGAGGGGGTATGAACTTATATTTAAAGAAGTCGGTGACTGCTGTGACTCTTTTGACTGCATTATGTTATGGTTAATGAAACTGCACCGGGTGCAGAAATTGGTTTGTCCTAGAATTGATTTCCAAAACCTAATGATTACAGTAGATTTCTCACACTGCTTAAGAATGTTCTGCAATAAAATACTGCAAATATCACAAGATGAGGTTGTGTAAATTTAGCCTAGACCAGAACCACAAAAGCGCCACAAATAAAAATTCAGATGCTCTTCATCAATAGCTGATTTACAACAGACATCATCCCTGCATTTAAGATTAAACTTAAGACTTTCCTCTTTAATAAAGCTGATAGTTAGGGCTGGCTCTGGTTTGCGCTAGTTAGGCTAATGTAGGCCTAGTCTGCTGGGGGACCCACTATGATACACCTGGCTCCTCTCTCCCTCTCTGTCTCTCCATTTGCAAGCAAGGGGGGATTTCCTTATCTGCTGTGAGGGTCCAAGGACAGACAGATGTTGTAAAGCTATAAAGTTGTGAAGCTCTCAAAGGCAAATTGTGATTTGTAATAGTGGGTTTTATACATAAAACTGAATTGAATTAACAGTGTTTAGGGGTGGAATATTCCTTTAACACTGGCCAACAACTGGGTTACTCTATGCCTGCAGAAGAAGCAGAAAAATGAATACAAATGAGTCAAACAGAGTGCAGGAATGTGAGTCAGAAATCCTGTAAAAAGAGAACAAGAGTGAAAGAAAGAAAAAGAGCTTGGGGGGGAGAAGGGGGCAAAAGAGTGCAGCCATGTGCTGGGGTGTACACCTGTACCCAGAACAGGTGTTTTCCGCCCCACTTGCAGGCCCCCTGATTAGGAACCGCCACGCTTGCCTTACCCCGTCAAAGGCTAGCTTATCCCCCATCAGTGCAGCTCAGGCTCTGGGTAAAATGATGGTTAATTAGCCAGCAGAAAGCCACAGGCTGGAGGTTGATGGAACCACCCCCTCCCTGACCTTCCACCCACTGTTATACACACAGATCTGTGTATACTGTACACACAGAGACCAGTGAGGAGGCAGAACTAATTTAAACACTGACGGATGAACAGACAAATGGAAGAGAATATACTGTATAATTTATTGTGCTGTTTTCTAAGCTTTAACTGAAGTTTTTCAGACTCAGAGCTTTCATTTTGTTTTGTAACCGTTACCTTTTGTACTATTGTCAGAGTGGAACCAGTCCAATCTGGCACTCTTGAATAAAAACTTTCACACAGGGTTATCATAAGTGATGCAGACCTCTTTGATTAGCTATTACAGAAAGACAATGATGGCTGCACTGAGGTTATTAGCATGAAGGGATCAATACAGCACACCATACTTTTTACTGTATAACATGTCTTTTCCTTGGCTAATCTGTACATACATGGGGAAGCAATCAAAAGGGAGAGACAGAGAGACTATAATTATGCGCAGCTGGAAAAGCAGGGGGCCAAGAGAGGTTGCATTACCCAGCACTAAACACTTTCACCTGCACAGCAATGCTACCCAGCGCTAAACACTTTCACCTGGACGGAGCCACGTTTTCAAGTTTTAATCATATTTCCACCAGGGAGCCGAATTACTGCGGAGAAATGACTTTGTACTTTGTAGCAGACGTACAGCGGTGGTATAAAAGACAATTTGGGGGTAATGCTGAGAGGCAGATCTCAAAGAGCAACAGACTTATTGGTTCAATAATCGGTTTTAACTGTTCTCTGACTACAGTAGTGTCTTAAATGGCAAAATAGACAGTCCTTTAGCAACTTTAAGACACTGCTGCCTGTTAGTGGTGCAAAGCAGGGTAGCCTGTGTTAGTATAAGAATAGGGCTGTTTTGGAAACAACATGTTCTAATTCACATTTCATTTACAGATCAGCAGAATGACATTTTCATGCCAGGGTCTCCCACACATTAATTTTTTTGTGGTGGTTACCACAATTAAAACATCTGCCGCCACATTTAGATTTTCTATTTTTGGAGCTGGACTGCTCATTATGTCCTCCTGAGACCCAAACTTTTGTTTAGTATGCATTTTTAATTTCTACAAGCTATCTAGGATCAGTAGGACCTGATAAGTATAAAAAACACAACACTGTCAATGATAGTTAAGTCCCAACGTCCTCAAACGAGTACTTCCTAATTAACAGCGTCTTAGCTTGTTACTGTTGCTAAAATTGTTTGCATTTGTTACCCTACTAAACTACAAACATTATTAAGTATAAAATGTGATCAGGTTTTGGACCCTGTCCTCTTTTGTGTCGGGATCGGCTGCAGACTGACTCGGCAGAAATGGCTGCAAAAAAGTGTCCACGAACGAGGACACAGGTCTAAGTCAAGTAGAAAGAAATATAAGGTCAAGTAAACCCAAAATGTGATGTGCTCATATGAGGACACAGGGTCTCAGGAGGATATATTATTTGCTCCACAGTCGGAGCAGCACAGCGGTAGGTGTAGTCAAAGTGAAACTTAACCTTCAGTGCACTGGTTCTAAAGTTTGCTTTTACTCACAAACACCTGCTCCTCTCATCTACTGATCGAATCTGACCAACTCTGGTTGGATTGACTGATTAAAAATGCCACAGAAATTGTAATTTTTTGGGAAAACACGACATGCTTCATGTACTAACTTTTTAAAACAGAGCAGCAAACAAAGAAGAAAAACTGGGGCTAAAAAAGTTATGTTTGTCTAGAGGATGTCAGTAGAGCAAAGGCATGGGATTGTTAAAATTAAGAAAGTTTATCCCCTGGGGAGCCTGATGGCAGGTGGAAAGTGGCAGCTTTAGAGGAAAGTTAAGGTGGACAGCAAAAATATAAGGATTCATCCTCTAGGAACTTAAAACATCCACAGCAGATGCAGGATAATTGTAAACTCATGGAAGAAACAGTGTCGGTCAAAGGGTAACACTGACCTGAAAATGGTCATCATAATTACGGGGATGCGCGCGCTGTGGACAGTGCATATCCACTCCATAGCAAACTGGTCGTGAGGCCTTGCTGCTGAGGGGGGGGATACATCACATGAGTATGTATTTTAAGGCAGCATACTGACTCATGTATGCTTCATTAAACCCTAATAGATATTTTACAGTGTTACCAGCAGTACAACACTGGATGCACTATAAGATTATAAACTTCTCACCTTTAGGCAAGAGGCAGGATGTTAAGCAAGGTGGTCTTGATCCCCTATCTTCCAGCGAAGTCCAGCTTCCATCTAGAAGTTCAGTTCCAGGTCTGGTACAGTGCACAGAGGTGGACCCAACCACATCAAGTTGGTATTCTTTCATCTCCTCAATGTTCCAGCTCCTTTCCTACCAGAGAGGTGTCAATCCACATCACAATTTTTTTGTAGCCAAGAATCAGGACTCCAAGATGCCAACTTGCGATGCACCAGATCGCTGCGTCTAACCTTCCTGGTGATGAGTCCACATGACAGCAGGCACCAGATCTCATGTGTCCAGGCCAGGACACTAGGCACTGTCAGGTGAGCTCCCCGCCAGCCTGGGTACAGAGGGCTTCGGTATCCCTCGGTGTCTGGATGAGGTTCCTCTTTCCGACATGCACTCTTCCAAAGATTTCTTTGAACAGCTCTGAGTCCAGCTCCCTCACCTGGGACCAACCAGATAGGTATGCAAACCTATTCACCTCAGTAAGGCTGGGATTCTTGGAAGGGTGAGGCAGCAATTTTCAGAAAGCTCTGGGGGTGACTCTCAGGAGGGGATGGCGATTGTAGAAGTGGAAAATCTTCATCCTCAGTGTGGACATTTTTCCTGGAAAACAGAAGAATATTTTCACAATGTTTCTACCACATTTAGTTCTGATGTTGTTTTCCTTTTTTTCTTCATTGTTGTTGGTGAGTTACCTTTACTGTGGCCACTAACTCCAAGCCCAAAGCAAAAGGTAAATGCCAAAATACCTTACACATAACAGATAAGCCTGAGTCTGACCATCAGGGGGGGTTTAGGCTCTTACACAGAGGCATAGAGGCAGCTTTAAAATGTAAGCAACCTAGCATCCTGCATGGCTCATGATGCAAAAAGGTGGTGTACTCCCAAAAAGCAAATTGAGTAAGGCATGTAAATAAAAAGCAGTGCATTACAGATTGATAGTGGACAAAACAACTCAAGACTCGCAATTTGAGAGGGAGGAAGTAGAGAGCTGTAGCACTGCATCTAGGGAAGATAATGTTCGGGGGGGGGGGGGGGGGGGGGGGGGGGGGGGGGGGGGGGGGGGGGGGGGGGGGGGGTGTCAGACTGTACGGGGGAATTTGGGTTTTGGCATGCATCCCTCTCTGTGGAGCTACTGGTGCTCACACATCAGAGCTCCACTTCCTCCAGGCGCACCATGCAATACACGGAGGTGATAGAAATACGTTGTATACAGATCTATATACACACACACACGCTTGTATGCATACACGGATACACATACACAGATATGCATACACGCAGTCACACACTTACTGTACATACATGTGTTCCCTGCAGCAATAAGCACTGCTCTGCAACCTAATTAAGAGAACAATTAAGCTTGAGGCGATGAGGATTGGAAATGAGGGCCGCTGTGTGTGTGTGTGTGTGTGTGTGTGTGTGTGTGTGTGTGTGTGTGTGTGTGTAACCATCATAGTATCTGACTAAAGATAAAGCCTGTTGCCAGAATGTCAGGCATTTGCCCCGTTATCCTGGAGCTGAGGTCTGCCACTGCATTTTATTGGATTAAATTTGGGCCTATTTTCTCCTATCTTGCACAACCCTGTAATTTATTTTAGATGTTTTTTATTTTGCTCTTTTCTAATCTTATTTATGTGTATTTATATCATCTTGTGTCTTTCATATTTTGTCTTACTGCATTCTACTGTATGGCAGAGATGGGACCAAGTCATTGTTTTGCAAGTCAAAATTAAGTCTCAAATCTTTACGATCAATTCCCAAGTCCTAAACTTTGAGTCTCAAGTCCTAAACAAGTCCTAATGTGCTCTTTACCAAATGTAATGACATTTTAACAACAGAGCAATAACATATTAAATTTACAAAATCATGAATGGTTTTTAAAATTTGTATTCATTTGTTAGAGCAAGTTTGTTCAAAAGTCACTGAGCTGTTAAGCTAATATTAGCTAAGCATTGCTATCTTAATATTAGTCTCCACAGACTATTCTTGTGTAACTTCAAATGCCAAACGAAGTTGGAAGTTTTTGCATCACTATCTGTAATTTTTGACCCACACGTTTGCATTCTGATTTCATTTTTTGTTGACCACCACATCGTTTTCGTACACTAACATAATTATCTTTGGTATCATTTTTCCAACCGGCGCTCTGTAACATAACATTTGTTTGTCTTGGTTCTCTCCTGGAACATGATTGGATGCTGCTGGATCGTTCAAACAAAGTGGATCATCCGGGGAATTAGTGTCAACTTCCTGGGAATGAAAAGCGTTCACATTAGCTGATTCTGGAAATGTATGGAAATTGATCTGTGGCACTGTTTTTGAATAATACACTCTAATATTTGAGCTTTGGGAAAGGTATCAAAGCTGTGGCTCAGAGGCAGAGCGGGTCATCCACTAATCGGAGGATGATCCGTTTGATCCCTGGCTCCCCCAGCCCACATGTTGAAGTATCCTTGGCAAGATACTGAACCCCAAGGTGCTCCCAATGGCTGTTCCATCAGTATGTGAGAGCATGTGAATGGTTACTGAGTAGCAGGTGGCCCTTTGTATGGTAGCCTCGGCCACCAGTGTGCATGAATGTGTGTGTGAATGGGTGAATGTGACATGTAGTGTATAAGGTGAGTGGTCGGAAGACTAGAAAGGCTCTATACAAGTGCAGTCCATTCACCATATTTTCAGGTAAACAGGCTCAAGTCCAAGTAAAGTCACCAGTCACTAGTCTTTAACTCCAAGTGGAGCTGCAAGTCATCAAATTTGACTCCAAGTCCAAGTCATGTGATTCAAGTCCACACCTTTGATGTATATATCATACACTCTTCCCAGGGCATCGTGATACATCATGTAAAGCATTTTAAATTGCCTCATTCTTTAAGGATGGTACACATACTGACTTGCTTTGCCCCTTAACACCAGTTTAAGACATCTCAGAAATATGCTATAATACTTAGTGACATATAAAAAGAAACAAACTCAACAAACAGCTTTCTAATACCTTCCTAATTTTTGCCGTCATATCCCTACTGATACCACAAAGAAAATCATAATAAGTTTATTTTCTGGTGTGTTTGTTATACTGAGAGTTTACCTGGTCATTTCTAGTTTAGGGAACTTTCATTAAGGATCCTGTCCAAACAATTCAAACCCATCGTAAAGCACATGCTCAAAAGGCTGTGTTTTTTGATGTTTGATCGTACATGATGTTCATCTGACAGAAGTGATATTCCATCTGAGCTTATACCATACTGTAGGTCTGTGCTGGCAGTGCAAACAGGCTTCTGCGGCCAGGACGCCAAGAAGCAGGGAAATATTAAACAAAGGAGGAGAGAGCAGACGCTGAAAAATACCTGCTGGCCCAATACTCAGGCTCCATATGCCCAGCTCTACATTGACTGCTGGCTGACTGCTGGCTGGCCAGCCTGTATGCCCACTCTCTCCCAGGCCTGAACACACACCTACACACACAAACACACAGACAGACACACACACATGCAACACACGCTTCACTGGGGACAAGCCAGCAAGAGTAATCCTGGCCTACTTTTCTGCCCGGAGCGTACTGCAGCACCGTCTACACACTACCACTACAGACGAGGGAAAGGAGGTGCAGGAGGGGTGGATGAAGAATGAGATGAGATGGAGGGGAAGTTAGGAAGAGGGTAAAGGGGTAAAACTGGAAAGTGTGATGGAAAGGATAAGAATGAGGAGCGAGAGAGGAGTGTGGTCTCAATCTCAGCTTTTGGGGGGGCAATTAAAGAGGATGAGATAATGACTGAAAGTACAAGAAATGGAGGGATGTGAGGGGGAAGGAAATCAAGCTGTATGACACAAGGAGGGAAAAATGAGTAAAAGACACAGAAGGAATGAGAGAGACCGACAGAAACAGGGTTGGAGAGAGTCAGTGAGTCCTAATAGAAACCAGTGCAACAGTGGAGTCTCCTGCCAAACAAGAGGAGGGGGGTGCTGGCTGCTCTTTTCCAAATAAGCGCATTAGTTAGTGCCACTTCCTCTTGCCGGGAGTTCCTGCTGCATATTCTGAAAAGCCCCAAACCGCACCGGGGAATATTTTTACTCCGCTATGACGGACAGGATGAAAAATGATACCTGGAAATATGTAAATAAATGATGACATCACACATGACTGCCATGAACACATACATGCCTTTAATGTATTGGCTCAGAACATTTATTAAGACAGAAAATAATAAAACGGTCATGTTTATTTATACGCATGAGGAATATACCGCTTGTTTGTAAATAAACTGATAGTCTATATATTCAGTGATTCATGCCGCAGCCCTTCAGGGGGTTCACGTGCTGTAGTTGTTGTTTGCTTTGACTCAGGGTGTAATTACTGTGTGTATTCAGAGACCGTACAAAATAATTCTATGAATCATGTTCCAATACATCTGCGGTCTTTCCTGAATCCAAATTAGTTGCCGCGGTAAGTAGCATGAAAATACATGTTTTATGTAGTAAATGAACAGGGATTTGTCTTGGAACAGTATCGTTGTTAAGCTGGTAGCACAAGGGCCCAGATCAAGGACAAACGGGCAGTGAAGACATCCAGTAAATTATATCACTTTGAAATGCCATGCATGTATTCTGGAGGAAGAAATCATTCATTAAATCAAAATAAAATGAATTAAGTAAAGAAACTAATTGGTGACAATTAAAAAGTCATAAAATTATGCAGCTATTTACACCCCCAACAGACCAAACTGCACAAGACCTGCATTATTAATTATAACTTCTATGTCCTGGTTTATAAAGAAGGGAAGCAATGGTACAATAAAATAGTGGAATCTTTTGAATCAGGGCTGCAACTAATGACTGTTTTTATTGTCAACTGTCATTTCTCAATTCATTCATCAGTTCTTTTGTCTGTAACATGTCAGAAAATAGTAAAAAATGTCACATAGTGTTTCCAAAGCCCAAGATGATGTCCTCAAATGTCTTGCTTTGTCCACAACCCAAACATCCTCCTGAGACAGTGTCCTCATATGAGGACATTACATTTTGGGTTTACTGGACCTTTCATTGTGCTTAACTCAGACCTGTTGTCCTCGTTTGTGGACACATTTTTTGTGCCACCTAGTGGTAGTAAGAGCACAATACACTAATCCATGTAAAAACAAGATGGCAGGCATCTCTGCCAAGTCAGTCTGAAGGCGATCCTGTCACAAAAGTGGACAAGGTCCAAAACCTGATCACATTTACCGGTTGAAACTTGTTTATTTATGATTAATAATGTTTGCGGTTTGATATGGCAACACATTTGACCAATTTTAGTGACAGTTACAAGCTAAGACTCTGATAATTAGGAAGTACTCATTTTAATAACACATTAACAATTTATCATCAGCTCACTGAAGGACACTGGGACTTCATTATCACTGACAATGTTTCGTTTTTATATTTATCAGATCCTATTGATCCCAAATATCTAGAAGAAATTAATAATGCATACCAAACAAAGGCTCGGGTCTCAGGAGGATATTCAGTGTACTGTCAAGGAGTTAAAAAATCAAAAACAGAAAGAAAAAAAAAAATCACATTCAAGAAGATGGAAGTTGAGAATTTTGTTCCTTAAAAAATTACTC